ATTTCTATATTTATGTACTCAAAAACTGATATTAACTCTTAATTCTAATGGTTTATAATGTGTAATTTTAGGACAATTGAAGCCATGATGCATAAATTATTGTAAATGATTTTTTAATTATAACCGACAAGTACCTTGACTAGCATGCTTTTGGATATATAATCCCTTATTCGGATTGGACATATTTCATGTCTTTCCCTTTCTTTTAATATTGTACTGGTCTAATTGACTGTAATAAAGTTAATACAATACAACCTGAAGAGCCTATTTCTTGTACAGTGAAAATCATGGCAAAAATATAGTACAAATACCTTTAAGACTATAAGATGAAATAAAACTGCTATTTTTTTTACTTGATACTTGACCAAAATTCATAATAGTTTTTAAATTTTAATCTGTTGGGTGCAATAACAAATTCTTTAAAACAGAAAACAGAAAATCTTCAGAACCTAGAAAAAAGAACTGTAAGATTTTCTTGGAGGTTTCATTAGATTGCATCAAAATCTTCATTATATAGCTCCCATAAAACCAACCCAGGAAAGTTATATTCAGAGTCATGATAGATTGGGGCGGCCTATACATTTCATAAATAAATATACCAAAATTAAATATCAAAACAAAAACACTTTTAAGAAAAAGTCTAGTTTATTGCACTTATCTGAAAGCTTATGGGAAAAAAACACAAATTTACAGAAGTGAAACTATGTATGGTAAACATTTCAGGTAGTTAGAAGATACAAAAGAACTCTATGGGCTTAGAAGAGCTGTCAACACCAGTTCATATTTATGAATCAAGCCAATTACACTATTATGCACTGCATAAACATCTAGCAAATTAAGCCATTAATGGGAGAGGGGGGCGTTTTTAAAAGTGTTAGTGTGTGTATATACATGCATACATATTTTTGAGTGTGTGCAAATGTGTCATTTTTTCATTATTAGAATATGAACATTTGGCCAGAAGTGCACCATAGGGCTGCCCCATTTCCTCAGAAATTCTGAACTTCAGAGGAGCTACAACATTGGAATACCAGTTGCCAAAGGACTTCTCAAAATAGCCTGCCAATTGAACTAGGGATACATTGACAGTTGGTTACAAAAACATCCAGAGGCCGATTCCAAGTGGATAAGATCTCAGAACGAAACAAATATGACCTCCTGGTCACCCCAAAATAAAAGAATCGACCAAGCTCTAATCATACAAATGCTGCTAATAGATATGTCTATGGTGCCAAAATTAGTTCTTATGAAGAAAATCCACCAATACAATGTTGTATCAGGCAGCTTTAGAAAGAAAAAAAAAACAAACCATTATCTCCCCCCAGGTTCACACACCATCTTTATCAGTTAGCTCATTTGCAGTTTCAATAATAGTTGCTTAATACATTCATGTCTCAAATAAATATATATTTTAAAAAGTACTTAAGTGTAAACCACTGGGATTATGTTTTTTCTTACAGTATTCTTAAGAAATTCAGTAATTATGACACATAAGCTGCAGTGATCTGTAAATTATAAATTTAAGCACCTCTGCTGTAAACATTTCAAATATAAGACATTGCAAGATTTAGCTAATGTAGCTAAAAATTTCCTATTATAAAGGCGAATCCTGATGAGTACCACAACCTTTCTTTTGGGATAAGCTTCTTTAGTACTATATTTAGATTTTGTTATAAATTATGGTACAAAAAGGAAATAGAGAATCTACTCTGAACACAGGCTTAATTCTGTCAGGCTAAATGTGGTACTGGATGTCACCTACAGAGCCATCCTCATTTTACTGAAATAACTTATAATGTTCTGCTTAGCTCTTAAAGGCATTTGTGGAACACAAGCCTAAAATGTCTCGGAAAAACATGTAAGGCAACGTTCCCTAACCAGAACCCCACCAAGATACATTGGAACTAAAATATCCACAATTCCCAGTCAACATGTTAAAAGTAGCTGGGAATTTAGACAGTTATAATCTCAAACCACAAGAGACCTCCAAGTTAGGGAAAAATAAGGGGAACTAATGCTTTTAGCCCAGTTAATCAGAGCAAAAATTCAGTAGAGCTCTGAAAGTTATAATGAAACTAATCTGAGCACCAAACTGTGCATCTCTTTCCACTGAAAAAATTACAGTATTTTGTTCCTTTCTATTAAAGGCATACTCATTTTTTCCTACTAAGATTAACATCCAAGAGAAAAACTAAAAAGCGTCTTTTTCAGTAGTTGAGAAATAGGTGATGTAAGAGAAGTTCTTCCCACATAGTACAGGTATTAGCTTGCATGCTACAGCAAATTCATTTTGCTGCTAATGAGGTTAAACTGATACATTATAGTCAAAGTACAACTTCTAGAATAAAGACAAATTCACAATTTCTTTAAGCCGCATTGCCTGCCTCACCTGAGATATACTGAACAAGACATTTCACTACACAATTTGAAGACTACTGTATAAATTAGTCTTCTATATCTCCAAAAGGTAATGTTATGAAATGTTTGTGGCTTCAAAAGCCTGGCATTTGCCATGTAACAGAATTCCCAAGGATGTTTTCTTACTTATTTACTGTTATTCACTTTATATCACTTCCCACTCATCCTCAAAATCATCAGAGTGAAATGATACTGAAGCATCACTGTGTTTCTGCAAGTTATGAGAATGCTGGAATGTCTTTGTGAGACGCTGAAGGAGATATCCTGAAGAACCAATTGCCCACAGTTCATCTAAAGGGGTAACTGGGGAACAACAACAACGAATTAGATTCAGTATGCAAGTCAGAAGAAGGAATGCCTCAAGAAATCTAGCTTACCTCCACCCAGAAAAATTTAAGGCTGAATTATAGAGTATAGCCACTGAAATCAATGGGATTCAAGATCAGCATTAACTTTTTTCACTGATTTAATGGCTTTGCAATAATAATAGTAGTAGTAATAGTAGTACAGTGGAACCTCAGTTCACGAACTTAATTCGTTCCGCGACTCTGGTCGCGACCCGAATTGGTTACAACCAGAAGCAAATTTTCCCATAAGGTTCAATGTAATTACCGTTAATCCGTTCTGGCGTGGA